GACCAAATACTTGTAAATAATCTGTTTTGTGTTCTTTTTGGTGTAATTATTGCACTTACGGTTGGCACTCATTGCACCGTTTTTTCAAATTAAATAACTTCGGTTTATTCATGATACAATCATTTCAACACGGTTTAAGAATTTGACGTGTCAAATTTAAATATCGCTAACTGCCAGGCACTAATGTAAGCACTTTATCTAACATATGTAATTGTCACAATAGCACTGTAAGTTAGGTGTCATCTTTTTGCAGGAAGGACACTGACGCATGGAGGATAAGAAGTATGTGTGGAGCTGGGATTTGAACCCAGGCAGTCTAGCTCTAGAATGTTCTCTTATCTGCTCTGCAGTTTTCTGTCTATGGTCTTACGGTAAACATGTAATTGGTGAAGTTGGTATCATACCAAGGCCTGTTGAAAAATAATGCTACAACTTTTAGACATTGTTTCCCATCTCACCGCTTAAGAAGTAAGAGGGTTGCACTGGTTCTTACTTGCCTGATCATAAAAATCATCTGAGACTCTTACTAACTAGGTCTCTAGTCTCTGTTCTTAACAAGTAAATTCAGAGCTGTATGGGAAGAACCCTGGGAATCTCTTTCACAGTGGCCTAGATGAATCCTCTGATCAGGCAAGTCCCTAACTCCTAGACTAGATTAGATTGCTTAAAACTAACAGTATTTTTGTTTCCCCCTTTTGTTTGCACATATTATGGATTATTACCCTATCTACGTGATAGAAACTTCATCACAAGCACAGAGGTTTTGAGTACACGTTACAGCAAACTGTTCAGTATTAGCTCCCTTTTCCCTTTGATTCCCATTTTTAAATGGATAAATGAGGTGTAGTCCAACTCTTTGGTAATCACCAGTTGGCCTGATAATTGGATAAGAGGGGCTAGCCATGAAGACCAGTCCATTGTGCCTGTAGATCTTGGTGTCCTTGTCCTGGGGCTGGGTCTTCTAAAGCACCATTGTGTAAAACATTATGGTTGCTTTGTGAGAACACTGAATAAACAAAATCCAAAAACTCTAAAACTCTGCATCCTCATGGTTAACATTTGCTTTCATGTTTGATTTTCCATCCAAGAGTTTAAAATTCTTAAGATACCCATTTTATCATTGACTGAGACCTTGATTTTCCGCCATGTGGTTGGTTCAAATGAAACTGTTCGATGTCTTCCTGACATTCAGACACTCACTGTTGTCCTAGAGGAGTGTTCCCCTGGAGTGACAGGTGGCAGGTATGTTTCAAAGGCTCACATGTTGGCTCAGTTTGCCTGCGTGGCTCTTTTCAGGAAGATTGGTCAAGGCGAGGCACCTCTTGGTGTACTTTAATTTTGTGCACCACCTACTTCTTAGTGGCTAAGATTGTTACCGTAAAGATTTAGAAAGTGTCACGCCAAGTTAACCCATCCATGTTTCATCTGACATTTGGGAACTTACTTTGGAAACTTGGTCAGGTTGCCCCCAGAATGTCTTGAGTACTTCCCAGTGTCGTCTTAACTTCAATGTTACGTAACGTCACTATGGCTTTGTTCCTTTATTTTCCTGTCCCCAGAAATCCCATCCCAAGATTAAAATCTTGTAAGAACAGTTATTTGTTCCCTAAATAATCCCCATACTAGCTTTGTTCATGGCATTCCCTCTGCCTAGAAGATCCTTTCCTCCCACCTCACCTTGCTCACATTTAAATCGACAACTTCTTTATGGAAACTGCTGTGATTTCCCATCCCCCCTCAACTGAAGATGAGCTTCTCCTTCCTTCTAGCATTCGTGGCATACTTTTGTCTATTTATCTTTTGCCCAGTGTGTTGATTATGATTATATTGTACATTATCGTTTGTCCTTACATTTGTCTTGAGTTTTCTTATTCTGGTATTTCAAGTATATTTGTATTTCTAGGCCCTTTGTAACATGGCTCTCTAAAAGTTCATCCCTCTTGTGGGTCCATCTTTGTAGATGGCTTTTTGGGGTGGATTAGATTCTACTGTGTAACCTCAAATACAACAAGCCCTCACTCAGCCTCTTCCTTGTGGTTTTCTTCCAGGCTAGAGCTGCCTTTAATATCCCCTGCCTTTTTGTGTAGTCTTTCATCCAGACAGCTAAAAACAGGGCTTGGGTCCTGACACCAGACTGATCTTAAAAGTCAAAGAATTCCCTGCTTCTCTAGCTCCTGAAATCATTTCTGACCCTGTTCCTAAAATGCATCTGTTAAAAACAGCATCTTCTGTCTTCTACATTTTTACACTTTTTGCTAGTGATGTATTTCGCTTTTAACAAGTTGCATTCTTCATTGCTGTAAGATAAATTTATTAAAACTCATCAAAAGGGAAGTGAAGAGGAAACGACAACAGTGATTTTGTTTGATTGTTGCTTTTTAGCTCTTCGATACACTCAAATGTTGTCTTCATATGAAATCAGAGTCTGTGATTAACCAAAGCAGAACAGGTGACTGTTAAGTCTTGAATATTAGATCTTTCTAGGAATCCTTTCCCCAAGTGTTTTTATTTTCTATGGATTTTTCCCTACCCTTCAGTTGAATCACATCCTTTCTCTAGGACCTGCTCATTGCTGTGGACTCCAGAAGAGCGTCTGTTTCTCTCAATTCTCCTTCTGTTTCAACTGCTACCTTTTGAAAATGGGAAGAAACAAAAACTTTGAAGGAAAAGACCTAAGGACAAGGGGGGGAAGCCACAATTTGGTGATTCGTTGTCAGATCGCATTAGTTGAATTGACGGTTTTCTAGTCTCCCAAAATAAAAATTCTGGAGCTGTGATTCCAGAAGCAGAATACTCATGGCTTAGTATTTACTCCTAATAACCCTAGCTCTAACCCTTCATTGTTTGCAGGAAAAAATACATACTAATCGCCTTTTTCTGGGTGAAACTACCCGATGAGCCATAAATTATAAACTGTAGTCTACCAAAGTGGTCTGTAGCATTGGAGGTTAAAGTTCATTCGCTGAGTAGAGTGGAGTAGTACTCCACAGAAGCCAGGCTGTGTGTTTGAAAAACAAAAACTTAAATTTGCTGAGCTTTTAAGAATCTCATCTTCAAAAGAGAAGAGGGGGGGAGCAGGCAGGTAGAAAGACAGGAAGAGAGACCAGCAAGAAGAAAGTACAGTGGGAGATAGCGGAGGCTGGAGGTTTTGTTTTTACAAACCATTTCAAAATAAGCTTTATGACATCACACAAATTTTGCTTCTCTGAACCCTCTGAACCCATTCGTAAGATGGAGATGTGCCTCTTGCACAGGGTTACGTGGCATAACACGTCTCAGGTCCCTAATACCATGCTTCCTGTTTCTTACGTTTTACTATTTATGTCCTTTATTGTATTATTACTTTTGTTTGTTCTCTCACACAAGAGCGTAGCGGAGTCTGCAAATCTTCTAAAGGTGTCGGCAAAGTTTTAGGCGTTACTTTCCTGTGAAAGAGACCTTATTTTGAGGCCCTGCTTGGAAAACTTGTTCAGTAACTCAGTGGCATCAGGGGCGAATTGTATGTGACACGGAGAGGTTAAAAAGGGAGGAGCAGGTACTGTTCAAGAGCTGGTGGCACAGTCTAGAATTACATGCCCTCTCTTTTTGCCCTGATCTGACTTTTTACTTGCTACCTCCCCTGACACCTCTTTGCCCCCCCTTCCACACACAGCTGCCCTACCTTTGACCTGCAACCAGAATCTAAAGCGTTACTTGGTTTCTACGTAAGTTAAACACAACAATTGCTGGAGCCAGACTAAGAGTGAAATTCTTTGAATGTGAAACTGAAAGGATCTGCCTTACAACTGTAAAGCTGCTGTTGTTGTATATTTGTTAAATAAATTAACACATATTTTTAGTCATCTTTTTTACCTTGGTTTGAATTTACATGGGTTCTGATGAGTAACAATGTTATGACCTTGTAACTTAGGAAATAGAAAGGAAATGTAAATTAAGAGAAATTAAATATGCTATTATGATACTTTAAATTTCACTTAAGTAATCATGTTTATTGAGCACCTACTATATGCCAGGCACTGTCCTAGGCAGTGAATAAAATAGGCAGGAACTTTGCTTTCAAACAGTACTCAGTTGCTAAACCCATTTCCTTTTCTTTAGGGCATTTTCATTGTCTCTGAATTTGAGAGCTGAAAAGTACCTTAGAGATCTTCTAGTCCAGCCTCTTTCAAATGGAGAACCTGAGCCAGTAATTCACAGGAGAGTTAAGAGAATTTAGCAGACAATTCCAAGTAATGACAGCAAACTGTAGGGAAACCAGCACAAATTGAGGATTCACTGTATCGTTAGTATCATGAGTGTAGAAAAGTTATAAATTACTACAAGAAGAGTTCACTCGTGGTAGTGTAAATGAAAGATTCCACTATATTATCTTCAAGTTAAAATCAAGTAATGTCTTTTTTTCTTCTTTAGCACTGTAGAGAAACCAATTTTGTATCGTGTAGTGCCTAAATCTATAAATGGTTTTCTGTGTATAGACTCAGAAGTTTCAGAAGCAGTTAGGCAGACGATGCTGTTTACGAGTGTTCAGGTAGTAGTGATAGAAATAATGTGTCTTCCTGCCTTAATAGAATCATAGCAGTTCATATCTGGAATTTATACCCCTTAGGTCAAGGGTGAGGACATTGACTCCCAAAGAGGTTAATTGACTTGCCCAAATAAGAGCCAAAACTAGCAACTTCTATTTAAGCAAGGAGTCAGGGTTGTTTTTGTTTTTTGTTTTGTTTTGTTCTTGTTTTTGTTTTTTATATTAAGGTCACTATATTTTGATATTCAGATATCCATTTTCATCTTTAAATGATCTAATATTGTCATCAGACTTGCTGAGCGTTGGCCGTATTTTTTTTTTAATTAAGACACTGTCTGAGAAATTGACAAAAGATAAAGTCACAGATATTACAACCTGGTCTCTTGGCATTTCTATATGTCTGGTAGTTCATCTCTTATGCTAAAAACATCCAGTCTTCTGTTGCTGGTCATAAATAATTTTTCCCCCATAATAGGTATTGTCTTCTGAGAACTCTGAAGCAATGTCAGACATTGAGGGAAGCTCTCACTGCTGCAGGAAAAGAGATTATATGGCATGGGCGGACAAAAGAAGAGCCTGCGCATTACTGTAGCATTTGTGAGGTAAGTAACCGTTGTTATCCACAGTTGTTTTGTAAAGCCTCTTACCTCTCTACTTTCGGTTTCTCTCCAGTGACTTTTCTTTAAAATGTACGTATACCCATATGTCCTGCAGCTTACTGAATTTGACATTGTGTTCAATCTTGTTATTTTATAAAGCCTCTTACCTCCCTACTTTTTTGGATTCTCTTTAGTTACTTTTACTTGAAATGTGTTTATGCTCTTCTGTCCTGCAGCTTCCTGCAGTTGACATTGTGTTCAGGCTTGTTATTTTCTTGTTACTTAGCTATTTCATTAAAATTGAATCTCAGGACATACTGTTTCGGTAACAATGAATTAATTCTAAAAGTAATCTACAGTGTCCTCTGAGGGATATTTTAACAAATGATGATCATCAAGAAGTTTAGTCTTGAGATTTTAAACTGGGAATAATCCAGATGTATGCAGAAGACAGGAAAGTGGATGTAGCTTGGTATAGCTCTGGGCAGATCACTGTTCGCTCTAGTGTAATTCATAAATGACATTGGTCAATCTCCTGTGGCCAAGGCTGGCAAGAGAAGCAGAAACCGATATTAATGTGGTACCTGTTCCGAAGGAGCTTACATTCTACTCGGAGAAGACCAATTATAAACAACTAATTGTACATGAGCCTGTGGTGAATGTGAGGTTGGTCTTACTGACTTACGATAACACTGAGGGGGAGGGTGACCTAATTTTCCCTCCTGGTATCGGTATAAGAGTTCACAAAAGTATTAAAGCTTGAGTCCATCCTTCAAGGATGAGTGAGTATGACTTCGGTGGGCTAAAAAATGGTGAGAATTAGAGGTAGAGTGAATGTTATTATGAGGCACGACTTGGGAAATGGAATGGCTTATTCAGAAAAGGGTTAAGTCATCCAGTGTGGCTGGCACACAGGCAATGCAAATTCTACTTACAAGTCTAGGTGGTAGGAAGCTTTGCTGAGCATCAGCAACGGTGGGTATGTGTTTCAAAGAGAAATGTGATTGGAGAGAATGGAGATAGGAAGCTATGTTACAGGGGTCTTAATTAAGAGTTGTTATCCTAAGGCCTTCCCTAGATTGTAGTGCGAATATTAAAGAAGGAGAGGAATTCAAAAATATTTAGAGAGTAAAATCCACAAGACAACTCATCAAATGGCAGAAGTGACGGACAGGTTGAAGAATGCTCACAAATTTTCTAGTTCGGATCATGAGGTTCACGTTGTCGTTCATTGATAGTAATGATAAAATGGTGGGTGAATACTGAGATTTTAGTGAACACACTGTTCAAAGAAGACATGAGGTCATGAGAGTATTCTCATTGAATAAATTCATTGAATTTGATTGTATAAATTCAAGGATTTGCCAAAGCCAAGGATATTAGTGATCCATTTCAGACCTTGAAATTCTGTATTCTGACACTGACGTTTATTTGAAATGGTTGAATCCATCATCTACTCTGATGTTGTATAACTGGCCAAAGTTAAATCTTTGGGAGATCATGGGCACCCGGGTGGCTCAGTTAAGCATCCGGCTCTTGACTTCGGCTCAGGTCCTGATCTCAGAGTCATGAGTTCGAGCCCCACATCAGGCTGTGCACTGGGCGTGGAGCCTGCTTAAGAGTCTCAATCTTCCCCTCCCTCTACTTCTCTCCCACTCGCTCGCTCATGCTCTCTCTCAGAAGTCTTTGGGAGATCATATAGGTGTGTTATGCCTCAAAAAAAAAAGTGTATAAGCTTTTCAGAATTTGAGAATGACTCCTATCCCTAACTGTTCTTTCTTATCCCCCCTGAACCTTAGCAATTCATCAGTCTTTCTGTAAAAGGTAGAGGTTATTATTTCTAAAATCATCCGATACTCATGAGCACACTTTTTGCTTGTACTCCTGTTCCCTCACATGAGGCTTATAACTGAATACTCACCATCACTGACCTCTTCAGTTTCCTCATCTGTAAAATCAGATTATATTTATTCACCACGTAGGTTTTGAGGTTTGTGTGAGCACTGTGGTATGTTCTGGGGGTACAAAAGTGAGTAAAGCATAGTCTTCATCTGAGGAGCTCAGTCTGTGGGAGAAGACAGTACTCCGTGATGAGTACCGACAAGTAAATGGAAAATAACAATCCCTTTCTTCTGGTTGTATGCCAGTGTTTTGGATTCAAAACAAAAATAGGCTGACCTTGATCAGCCTTTGAACTAGGCTTTTGCCAGTGGTTGTAACGAGTGTGTCATTCTCTGAGATCGTTCCCCTACATGTGCCGTGCCACCCATGTCTTTGGGTTTGGTACAGAATATACCTGGCTCTCTTAAAGATTCTCAGACATGACCATGTTTGTCTTAGTACCTACTCTTTTTTTTATTTAATGTTATTTACTTTTGAGAGAGAAAGAGAGTGCGAGCAGGGGAAGGGCAGAGAGAGAGAGAGACAGAGAATCCAAAGCAGGCTCAGGCTCTGAGCTGTCAGCACAGAGCCCAGTGCAGGGCTCCAACCCACAGACCGCGAGATCATGACCTGAGCCGAAGTGGGGTGCTTAACCGGCTGAGCCACCCAGGCGCCCCTTAGTACCTACTCTTAACCAGAGATAACTGTCCACAATTCCACGTGAAGCAGAATTCTGTGGTTATACCAAAACAGTACAATAAATAAATACCATGATCTCCACTGAATGCTTTTTCTCTTGCATAAAAATAGGTGGAGGTTTTTGATCTGCTCTTTGTCACTAATGAGAGCAATTCTCGAAAGACCTACATAGTGCATTGCCAAGATTGTGCACGAAAAACCAGCGGAAACCTGGAAAATTTTGTGGTGCTAGAACAGTATAAAATGGAGGACCTGATGCAAGTCTATGACCAATTTACATTAGTAAGTGAAATGAACATGTGAGTACATACTTAGCTGGATAGGGAAGCGGCAGTGTTTGTTCTGCCACCTGAGAAGTAGGAGGTAATGGAATATTTAAATTTTCCTTTCGCTTGTTGGATACTGCATGAGGAAACAGTCATATCATTCCTTCCAAGTATTTATTCCTATGAACTTGGCGTATTTCATTTTCACTTTTCTTCCTGGGTGGGTCCAAGGCTGAATAATGTCACAGTAATGACATTTTAAAATCTTTCTGTGCTTTTAGAACACTGTCATAGCCTTTGTGTCATTCGATTTCAGTTGATAAAATGTGTACATAGGTTATTAGTGTCCACAAAATGAATCCGTAAGTGTGGTCTTAAATAGACTTCGGCTTTTACAGCTAATTGTATTTATTTAAAGTTTTGTCGTTACCAGAACTATTAACCTCCCGGGAATATTTGATGGAGCTTAACTTCCCGGTATGTTACATAACCTTATGAAATTCAAGTATACTTACAAGTTTTACACAGTTTTTAATGTTAACCAGCAGATGCTTAGGGGGAAGCTTTTTACTCTAGCGTATCAATAGTTTCATGAATAGAAACACATATAATTTACGAATTGTTGACTTCCTCCAGTACTTTTCTCTCACATATGTGATCAGAAACTGAATTACTGAAATGTAGCTCCCGTTTTCACTTACATGGTCTTCAAGATCGCTTGAAGAAGAAGACAATGCTCTGGAATTATGTTCAGCAAAATATATGATCTCGTTGAGATAGGTTCTGAAGCGAGCCACTGATGAAATTATAATCCGTGAAATCATTTTCCACAAGCCTTTTTTGTTTTGTTTGTTTGGAAGCAGTCTAAAATACGGGCATCCTAATAACTTATCCTAAGAGGTTTTGACTGATTGGCGAAGTAGAGAAAAAGGTGGGTGCGCCGAGTAGAGCAGTGGTCTTAGACCCTTAGGAAAATTGCCCAGGTGGGAGAAAGGTAAGGGAAGTTATTCCTTGACATTGTGTAGCAGGCCCTTGAACTTTCTTCAGAACCCTTACTTCGCCTACCTTCAGAGGCCGACTGTGCCTGTAGCCTTGAGCTAGGGAACACCGTTAACAGTGCGAATACCAAAGTAACGTCCCTTTTATTTGCAGGCTCCTCCATTACCATCCTCCTCATCTTGATAGTGTTCCATGGACGTTAAATGAGACCTTTTCTGCTATTCAGGAAGTAACTCAGTTCTGCACCACTGGTTTTTGTAGCTATCTCGTAAGGCTGCTGGCTGAAAACTGTGTCTATGCAACCTTCCCAGTGCGGAGTGTCACCCAACTGGACAGGGGAGAGCACTGCTCTTACTCCGGGACTCTCCTGAAGCTGATCAGCTATACTTCAGAGAAAAAAGAATAATAAATTCCATGTTTTGTATATATCTGACAAAACTGGCAAAATCATACAGACTACTGACTTGAAAACGACCTCTTTTATATTTCTCTATTTCTGGGCTGACGAATTGGTTTTCATCTATCTTTTCCCCTTCAGAATTTTCCTTGGAAAAAAAAAAAAAACAACTAGCCTAGCTGGTCATTTCTTTGTAAGGTAGTTAGCAATTTTAAGTCTTTCTTTGGTCAACTTTTTTTTAATGTGAAAAGTTAGGTAAGGAACTTTTTTACTGCTTTTATGTTTTTTCTGTCTTGTTTTGAAACCATGACGGTTATTACACTTTTGGTTCCTAAATAAAAATGTTTAAAAAATTAACAGCCAAGTCACAAAGATAATGGATTGCACATAGACTAAGGAATAAACTTCAGATTTGTGATTTTTGTTTCTAATCTTGATGTAAATTTACACTATTTATAAATACATATTTATTGCTTGAAAATATTTGTGAATGGAATGCTGTTATTTTTTCCAGATTTACCTGCCATTGAAATTTTAAGGAGTTCTGTAATTTCAAACACTACTCCTATTACATTTTCTATGTGTAAATAAAACTGCTTAGCATTGTACAGAAACTTTTATTAAAATTGTTTAATGTTTAAAGAGTTTTCTATTGTTTGAGTTTTAAAAAGACTTTATGTACAGTGCCCAGTTTTTGTTCATTTTTCAAATCTGATTATATATATTTTATATATACTTCTGTATGTATATATAATATATATAGAAATCTGGATATATATGTATAAAGATTTAGAACTTAAATTTTTCTCGTTTTAAGTTTCACATCTATGGTAGATTTTTGAGGTGTCTACTGTAAAGTATTGCTTACAAAAGTATGATTATTTTTAAAGAAATATATATGGTATGTATCTTCAAGACCCAAAATGTCAGACTGGTTTATTGTGAAGTTGCAAATTACTGCAATGACAGACCAATAAACACTTGTGGCCAAAACATAGTATAATAGTAGAAAACAAATAGTGATTGAACTTCAGATTTTAAAGGGAATGTGACGTGGGCTTGATAAATCTTGTACATCACTAAGCAGAGTTTTATATGGAAAAAAGGTTCAGATAAGGGCTCTATTTTAGAATGCAAATAAATTAAAAGAGACTTATTTTTTAATGTTAGGCAGTTTTAAATTTCATGCTTTCCTGCTTGCATGACGTGATTGGGGTGGTGGGGGGAGAGTCTACAAATCCACATCACTGGTAAAAATATAGCCAGCTATATTACCATCAACAGGTCCCTTCTAATGGACAACAGTAGGATTTCGTTTTATAACAATGGCACCTTGCATTTGGCACATACTCTCTTTTTATCAGATTTTTCCGGGAAGCTTTGGTGAAGAAGCATAGAGAATGCTATAAATGAAGTTCTATTTATGACTAAAGAGAATTTATAATCCTATCTGGGGAAATGCCGTGCTGATTGCATTAATCAAGTATTCTTGTTCAGATAGTTTTGGAGTACGTTGTCCTCCTGGAAACAGTTCGAAGGCTTGAAAGCATGGAGATATTTTATTTAATTAGTTAATTTAGTAAATATTGAATATCTACTAGCAGCAATCATCTCTTATTTATAATTTCAGAAGGAAATAATTACAAATCTATTTTAGTTAAGGAGCAAGAGTGCTTGTCTAAGTGCTGCTTAGGATGTGTAACCACTAATATTTTTGAAGTAACTCAAGGCAGACATTTCTGTAAATAAAAGTTGCAAGCCAGTATCCAGAAGCAAAGGTTCTAAGAATGCTAAAGCTCTGCCCTAAATGCTACTTAAACAGTTCTAGTTTATCTTGCTGACACGGTGTCTTATTTTCTCTGGTTTTATCAAGATACTTTATTGCCGAGATGAATATACGTTGTCTGACATTTAGGAATACTTTAGTGCTGTTTCATCGATACACACCTGGAAGTTCTAGGTCAAAAATAACACTTGCCTAGCTTAGTCCTTAGTCTTTGAATGGGTAAGAGCATAGGAGAGAGAAATCAAATGTATCGTTACTCTGAAGTATAAACTAGATAGACAAAGTCTTGTGTAAACTGCTTTCTTTTCATCAATTGAATATCCTTTATTCTAATTTATATTTTTCATATTTCAGAAGAAATAGAGGAATTTTTTTTCTTGTTACTGCTCTGTGTATAGGTAAATCCCGTTAAAAGCACACTTTATCCAGATGCCTTAATAATGAAATAAGTTTGCATCGTAATGCACACACATTGTTTAGAGAAAGAAGCTAACTACAAAATGTACAAGGAAGCAGATGTTGACCCAGATAGTGGGAACTGAATCATATTCTCTCACTGTCACCAGTTAAATAGGAAATCGTACACCATCGGTAGAGCAGTTCAACTTGCTTTACCTATTTATATGTTAAATCAATTAAAAATTGGCTTCTTCACTTGGAAATAAAAGCTCAGGTTTTAAAAGTAGTAAATTAACAGAACCTTCACATTTTCAACTGAAATGTAAGATCGCATGATGCTATGAGTTTTAACTTAAATGAAGTGTCTGCTTCTCAGAACCTAGTCGTTAAATCTTTATTGTCGTGTATATTTTCATTTAGTATTACTCACTTAGCATCTCCTAAAAAGCAAACCTAAGATGTAATCCCCGTCCTCTGCCCTCCACACACACATCTATATGGGAGACGCATGTAATCTATCAGGCAAACCCTAGAACAGGTGACAAGAAGGGTGAGTAATATTGGGGCCTGCATTTCAGTGGGGTGTACATCATCACACCCTCCTGAGCCAAGAGGGTTTGGGAACTTTGGCTAAGGAGTGGGAGGAGTGCTAACAGACAACTGGAAAGGGCAGGAAAGCTCCGAGATGTTGGAAAGCTGCCTCTGCCATGAGAGGTGTTGACACTTTGCCCTGTAGTTAATACGGGACCGTCCATTAGATTTAAACAAAAAAATAGCACTGGATTTGCTGTCGTCTTCCTACGTGCTTTAACACACTCCCTCTAATCCTGTACATAGCTGCCGGAGGGAGATCTCCAAAGCAGAGAAATCCAAGGAAGAGAGGACTTGGATTTGAACTTGGGATGTTGTAAGGTTGGGAATAAGAGCACAGATGGGGAAGACCAAAAGTAAATAGGAAATCACCGAAGGGTGGTTCTAGAGGCAGAAGATCATGAACTACTTGTAGGGCATCTAAGTAGTTGGAATTAGGAGAGGCCTGGACTGGAACCGCGTATCTGCTGTTCATTGAGGTGGTGCTCAGAACCAGAAGAGAGAAGATTACCCAGGAACTGGTGAGGAGAGGTAGACCAGATACCCGCCAAGGAATGTCAGCGTATGAGAGAACAGGGGATTGCAAAGGAGGAGAAAGCCAAACCGCCCGAGCGGTGGTAGACAAACTGGAGCTTTTGAAAAATAACCACACCATACTGCAAAGATGAGAGTGAAAGGGATTTTTTCCGGGTCGGCACAAGATGGTTGGCGACACTTGGCCAGAGCACCCTCAGTGGAGCAAGCACCTAAATTGCCGTGGATGGAAGAAGGTATTGAATCTGGAGGTTGATGGACTTGTCCGTTTGGTCTTTCCAGGAGCCCTCAGTTTGAGATTATATTGGTCTCTGGTGAACAGCAAACATATCACCGATTTTACATATTTTGTCTCATTGTCCTGGAGTGCTTTGCACAGTCATAGCGTTGTACATATATATCGTGAAGCAACCCGTGTAGTGTTTTGTTTTTGAAAGGAAGACCTATTTTTTTAGTTGAATGGGGAAATAAGGATGGTGTTTCGTTTAATTTTTTTTTCAATGTTTATTTCGAGACAGCGAGGGAGGGGCAGAGAGAAGGAGAAAGAGAATCCCAGGCAGCATCCGACACGGGGCTCATGCTCACGAACTGGGAGATCCTGACCTGAGCTGAAACCAAGAGTCAGGTGCTTACCCGACTGAACCACCCAGGGACCCCAAGGAGGGTAATTTTTTAGCGTGGCCTACAGATGCCTATCATTTACCGCCTACTTTTTTAGTCCTCACGGTGACCCTTTGAGTTTGGTACTCTTGTATCCCCATCTTACAGATAAGTAAACTGAGAGCTCCCATAACTTTCCCCAAGGTTTGTGGTCATTAAGTGTTCCAACTGTGGTAGTGATCCGACTCCAGAGAAGTGCTCGCTATTTATTCTACCTCCCACTGCAGAGAACTAGGAATCGCTGAGCGCTTACTCTGTAGTCATACTTGAAAGAGACTTTTCATTTTGAGTATTTAACAAGAGAAAGATGTCTTTAAATGTGGTAACCTGTAATCGGGCCAACCATTTCTTTTGTAGTCCAAACCAGAATGCTTTTGAGATCAAAAAGGGGCACAATTGCTAATTCTTGGGACAGGGCAGTAGCCATAAATTGGGCTCCCCTGGCAAGCTGGGATGTATGGCCTAGTGTTTAAGCCGGTCTTCAGAAGAAGCATTTGGGAGTAGTCTTCCCAACGTCCTACTCCTAGATTTTTGCACTCTTAGAAAGGAAGCATGGATTTATGCTGCACTAGGACCCACAGTGGTGGTTGCAAAAGACGACACGTTATCAGGAAGATACAAGCAATGGATTTTAGGAAATGGAAATGATAGAGGAAAGGGACGGTCCCGTTAAGTCTTAGTGATGTCTACTGAGTGGTTCCATCCTAAAGTCAAATAATGGCACTTCAGGAAACTGTGACAAGAAAATGTATAAATAGAATATTTTCGGTATAATGATGAGTAGGCATTTTTTCTATACACGATCTTCCACTTACC